CACTCAGGCACGTTTCCCCAGGTCCCGCTAATCTGGTAGGCCTCCGCGTTAGGCTGTGCAGTTAGGGAAACATTAGCTACCACATCTGACGCAAGCTCTGTTGATAGAGTGTTACAGATTGAGTTGCAGTCCTCGTTGGCTGATCTGCAAGTGACAACTTGCTCCACCTTATAAGCCGATTTTTTGGCTTCAATATCCGGATTGGAATTCATCAGTGTCACGCCTTGAGTGCCGTCTTTGGCTCCCAGTCGATTTGCGCTGGCTGAGACTGTCCCTGCGTCGTCAGCAGAATCCCGCTTGTGGGCCTCTATCCTTGCAAACTCTCCTCTGTCCTGGATAGCGTTGTTAGCCTCACACAAATTCTCAGGAGTTGGCTCGTTTTGCTGAATCTTTTCAGGGTGGTCAGCCGCTCTTTCCTGGAACTTTTCCGGCTGCTGATTCTTGCAACGCAACAATTGATCACTTCCGGAGCAAGATGAGCCCCTACAGTTCAGCCTACACTGGCATTTGCCTGAAAGCTTCATTCGCGTCAGCACACCGCTAAGCTCCTCCCCCGCTTCGTCTACCCTTTTGCCCGTGTCAAATTCTAAGTCTTGGCAATCGACTCGACTAGCAGTGTTTTGACGCTGAAGTGCCGCCAGTTGATGGGGACTTTCGGGGCTTTTTGGGAGGAACGCTAACGGTGGTACTTGTGTGCCTTTTACGGCTTTGTCCCCAGAGGTTGCAGAAGCCTCGCCTTCACGCTCTGCATCAGAATGTGTTGCGTCGCCTGACACTGTTGCTGCAACCGCGTAGATAGGACCCCTGTCTGCACAACGAACTCTCTCATGACACAACGCAGACAGAGTGGTATGTTCTGGAATCTCGACAACCCCCTCATCAACCAAATGAGGACTTATGCCTCGCGGCTTGGATTCGACTCGTGTGGAATGTGGATGTAGGCACGGTGATAAAGCATCATCCTGACATGAATTGGAGCCCGTCAGTTGTGAACTCTGACTAGTTTTACTCTCTAGACTACCCATAGCAGATGAACACTGATCATTAGCCCGCATGCGTATGGGGTTGGATATCTCCTTGCTATG